AAAAATAATATTTTAAATTAAAAGAAATCATGCTATTTGTCTAGAATGATGGGAAAGCATCAAACAAAAACACCTGAATACATGTGGAAGTGAAACACTGATTTTCCAAAGTGAAAAAAAATATTAGGAAATGAGTATGACAGAATTCAATTTCCCCACACTCATTTAATTAGGACCAGATTTATCTAATAAAAGCTTTCCATTTATTTAGTTGAAAAATCTATGCATACGTTCTTTCAAGCAGCTCAAAAACCTTCTTTGTTTGCCACTGACAAAGAAAATGCTTTCTCCAGTACTGAACTCTTATTATTCTCTGTTGTTAGCATATACAAGAAGAAAGCTGTCACCTGTCTGCACAATCTGAAATGGGGCTATTAACATGCTACAACTGAAAAGTTGCTTTTATATAAGAAAAGACTTTCTGCACTGTGTCTGTATCTTCTGTAAGAAATGTTACAAATAATACCACCAGTTACATTTCAATGCTGTCACCAACAGACGGCCTAGTATGGTCCAGACTCTAGTCACATCCAGAGTTTAGAACACCATGTCAGTTAGTTCCAATTAGAGATGTTTTGCATTTTCACTGTTTCAGATTCCTGTATTTGGAATCCATTGAATAGACAGAATAGCCAACAGCTGATGCTAAATGAAGAGGTTTATAGAAAGTTTTGCTCCTTGAGATCCTCTATTTCAGAAATAATACGACATCTTGGTCTATTAGAGGTGTGCATAGAATATGTATGAATAATTTGATGTCATCTTTTTCTTTTTTATAATTGCTTTTGAATAGACTGTGAGTGTCAAAAGTACTGGTTATTCAAAATTAGTTACTTAATCATTTCTGCATATTATTCTTGGGTATTGCTCAGTTGCAAAGAGACAGTTGTGGTAACCACTTGAAAATCAAAGTGGCTTGACTGGTTATGTAACTTACATAGTGTGTCTCACTAAACAGTGAACAGATTGAATGTGTTTGTGATTACAAATTCAGAATTCCTGTCCTGTAAATATTCTACAATATTCACATAAAATGTGCTTGTGTCAATAAATGCTCTTACTGGCAAACTCACTAATACATTCACAGTGAACAAAAAAAAGGAACACAAACTGTCAAAATTGATTCATTTAAAAGTTCAAATGATTAATAATGAGATCTTTTGTAGTTTTCTCCCAGCTATAAAAAAAAAACCATAAACTGGCCACAGCTGTAATATAAGTTTCATAAGGTATCAATGCCTTTTAGTGGCAATAATTTAACAAAGAGCATCAAAATGCCCTCATAAAACATTTGTGACAAAGGTTAGAAGAACCCACCACTCTGGACTTATTTTCCATTTGATTCTAGAGTGTCTATTTTTTAAACTTGGAACTCTGGAGACTTTTGAAGTAGCCCAAATTTGGCAACTTTCAGAGAATGCTGCAAAAAATATCAGCTTAATAGACTCAGGTTTGGTTTCTTAGATGATGTAATGGCTGGGTGGCTACCTATCAAGTTACGTAAGTGGAACTGGATTAATGTTGTTGAAGTTTAATTCATAGCTGTCTTTGGTGTTCATTTGAAAATTAAATAAATAAATTTCAAAGCAAATGGCTAAGTGGCTCTTTTATTGTTTGTTTATCCATTTCCAGTGGTAAACTCTATTTTATATGAGTTTGTTACATTGAGAGAGTCTAGTTTTCAAAAAGAGATCAGTGTCCAAAAGCTCTAACTGGGAACAGTAGGAACAATGGCAGCATCTGGGTCCTGAGCCCTTTTGAAAATCTGGACTTGAGTTTATTGTGAACTGTGAAGTATAGTTGTAAGTTATATTGTTCTGCATTTGTCTGAACCTATATTCGATTGTGTGCTGCCTGAAAGCCTTTCTATCTGAATTTTAACTGTGCTAAAAATATTAACCCTTGAATTTCAATGTTTCATAGTGATGAGGGCTTGAAAGTAGCTATGTTAATAGAAATACACATTACAGACAGCTAATTCTACTATATATTTGAGAGAGTTCGTAAGTCTGTCTGTGTATTTGTTAAAGAAATCTTCCTAAATGTTAAGAGCTAGGACCACCACATTAGGTATACAGCGTCTTTTTATTCTAAATTAAAGCAAGATAAGGGTTTGGTTGTTTCAGGAAAATGGGTTGTGCCTAGAATGGGATTATGTCTCATAAAACCATACAGAAAAGAGGCACAATTACCAGGCAAGTAAAAGGAGCTGGATGGGTGTACACCATTCCCCTCATGGGACTGCTGCAGCCCTCAGTTTCCCAACCCGACACCCTTGAGCAGGGACAGAAGCTCCCTCCCTGTTCATACGGGAACATTGCTTGCTGTTCCCCTTTGTGAGGGAGCAAGGAAAAAGTGCACAAAATTGCTGCATTC